ATATATATCCATATATATATGTAAAGATTTAAATCTTTTTTTAAGTTTAGAGTTTTGTTTTAGTTCATATGAAAAGAGAATTATTAGTATCATCATGTCTTTTATCAATTTCGTCATTTTGAAAATTTTAAAGTCCATTAATAAAAGAAAAAGACTTGATTCAATTATATGCAAAAGATAGATCTAATTTCACTCATATCACCGCATATTTAACACCGTACAATACACATTACTTTGATTGAACAGTGATTTTAAAGTAAAGTTATAAATTGTTGGACCTGAGCACGAGGAGAAAATAAAAAAGGATCTTTATCAGTACACAAACTCATTAGTGGTATATATGAGGTAGTTAAACTTGAGAGATATGATAACAAATGTTTTGGAGAAAAAAAAAGCGTTTTGCTGAAAAAAATAATCAAATCTCTTTAGTAAAATAAGAAAAAATCGCTACTTCTTTTCTTTTTACTAGGGGGCAATTCTATTAAATAACAACACCAACTTACAATTTTCGAACAAAAATTCTTTGTACAAATTCCTTCTATTAATTAAAAAAGTTGTGGTGAATTGAACGTTTATCGCCTACAACGCAGGGGTGGGAAAAGACCAAATATTATCATGCTCTTTTTTTTTTCCTGATGCAAAATATCATCATCCCTTTGTTCTTAGAAAATAGAAAGAAAGGAGTAAAAGCTGTAGGCCCATCATAATGACAATTACTTCGTTGGGAGATCTAAGATCGATGAAAATCATTTTAGAGTGTGTTTAGTTTAAAAATTCGTGACATAATTTGAATCATAATTCATAATTCGTTACAGTATTTTTTCTTATAAAAAATATACGTAAATTAAGAATGATTCTGAATCATGATTCTTAAATCATATCTTGATCAGCAAAAAATAAAAAAAATAAAAAAAATAAAATCTTAAATCATGCCGTTAGCTTCTTTTGTTTGTTTTTTTTCCTTCTTTTGTTTGAGACTTGTCCCAAATGTGTGGCCACGATAGATATATAGCCGAAAGGTCAAGAGAGAGAAATAGAACGGCCAAATTAAGAGTACAAGATTAGAAAAAAGAAAAAAAAAATTAAGAGTACAAAATATAAAAATGGTACAAAAAATAATATAAAAAATACTCAATAAATGAGACCGACCAAGTAGGAAAAGTCACACCTACTTTTTCCATTGTACATAGGCAAGTCTTAAAACAAAAAATACGCATTAATTAGAAGCATATAATTGCAAATAAAAAACAATGGTCCTAGCCTAGAAACAATAAAGTGAAGCATTAAGATTCAAGAGTTATATGCTATTATATTGAGCTCTCTTCTTCTGCTTGCTTGCAAACACTTCTCCATCTCTCATTATCCAAAACCTTTCTATTTCTTCTGCTTTCCGGCCCGGAATCCGGCCAGCGATCAGAGCCCATCTGCTTATATAAATAAATAACAAAAATTCAAAAAACAATAAAGGACTAGTTTTGCTTTTGTCACTTTGAAGAAACTAATAAATGTCATATGTGGTCGCTTATTATTTGTATAATCTATGCTACAACGCTTTCAAACGATGATAAATGTCTCTAGTGATGGTCATTATCACTTGTTGATCTTTTATAATGAACCAAAAACTATTATATTATGTATTGTCGTTTTCTCTATAGTTATGTACCTCTCAAATTGATGAATATTTGGGTGTATGCATAGAGATCAATTATAAAAATTCAAAATTTGTTTGAAGAGAATTAGGAAATCAAACCTTTTTACTCCCAAAATTGTATTTGGACTGATTTCAAGGAAAAGCAAATTAGGAAAATAAAAATTATAGAAAATATCACAGAAACCCATAGATGAGAAAATTATTAGCATTAAATTTTTTTACTTTATGTTGGCCGCATCAACTTCAAAATGTGAAAGGAACCAGTCACATGACTAGCTAGAAGATGAAACAAAGGAGTACGGTAACCATGAACTAATTGCTCATGGTACTATTTCCACGTTTTCCAATGAAAATGTAGTTTGGAGAGAAAAAAAAATCCTTAATTTTACTTTACCTATCTCCAACAAGCTTGTGCATTCTAAAGATGAGATCTTCTTCTTGTTCTGACATGTTTATGAACTCCCACTCGATACTGCTCACCTCTGCCATGTTAAATTAGACAGCATTTTTGTGTGAGAGTGATAATTAAGTTTGAACATAAATACTAACTACCAAGTAAAAAAAAAGAGAGAAATCAGAAATTATGACAAAAAAAATGTTGAAATGGTCATGAAAGCACAAAAGGAGCAAATAAGATTTATTTCTATAAAATGAATGAAACACTATACATATTTGACGAAAAGGAGAAGAACCCATGATAGAAAAAGAGAATATGATCACCTAGAGCCCGTTTGTTTCATCATGATTTTTTACAGTATTTTTCTCTCATAAAAAAATACACGTAAAACGAAAATAATTTTGAATTATGATTCTGAATACACAAATTAAACGAACACTTAATGACACATCAAAAATTGAGTTAAATTAAAAAAAAACAATAAATTAAGAACCCAGAAGATGATTTAACTAAGAAAAAGAAATCAAAGAAAGGAAAGTGCTTGCCTTCGGAGCAGCGACTGCTATTCTTGGCTTGCTTTCTTCTGCGCTTGTCCATTGCCTAACAATCAAAACAGAAATAGTGTAGACTTGAAGAGAAGAATTACACTTTTGTATGACTCGCCAAGTCGTGGAAATTAAGAAGAAAATAAAATTTTGGACATTAAATTAATAATAGTCTGTCAGAAGGGTGTCTTGGAAATGCAAACTTATATATAGTGAATCTGTTGATCTGATGAAGTTTTGTTACAAATTTTTTTGTTTATCGAGAGAAGAGCTGCTTGGATTAAAACGCGGAGAGGACTAGGAACGGCAGGTCCTACCAAACAGACAAAATAGCCATTTGTTTGACTTGCAGTTGTTCCTCTTACGTTAATGATAACCCTTAGTTTGTTATATTATATATTTTTTTAATTTAATATAATTTTAATTAGATTTAATTATTAAAAACTGAAAAAAAATAAACTCTCAAAAAAATAAACAGATAGTCCCTCATGAAAGGGCAATCATACCCTTCATTGCACCTTTGATAATAACCCTTCTGGTTGCAAATTTGTATATTTATCATAAATTTATAACCTCACCACACCACTCACACCACTAATAGTTTGGAAACCAACTTCCTGCACAAGGAATTTCTTCCCTATCAATATTGAATGTTTGCGTGTTTTTAAATTTGAATCACATAAAAATCATATTAAAGTCTCCTTTTAAAACAAAAACAAAAAAAAAAAAAAGGAAATCGCCATTCTTTTTTTCTTAAAGGGGGAATATATTCCAAATAATAATAATAGAAAAGAAGAACAAACATTGATATTGACCTGTATGCTCTTAAATTATAGGAAAACCACAATTGCAACGACAACTATAGTTCTACCAATAAACTCGAGTATGAAACACTTATGCGAAATAGACATATTTCAAGTTCCAAAAACAGATATTGTAATAGGTACACCAACAATTGAGCATACATGACTCTTTATCAATTACTTTACAATTCATAGAAAATCTAATCGATCAAAATCGAGAAATCCGTAGAACTAAGACTATACAAATCACCATTGAAAAGCAAAATTAACATACTGAAAACAAAACCTAACACCAGAAAATAAGACAAATATATCACCAAATCATAAAAAAAAAACCACTGTTGTCACAATCCACAATACATACAAAAACAAAAGGAAGATGTCATGCTACTGACAATACCTCCAGTAATGAGACGACTAGAGCAAGAACCACAGCTTGGAGGGCCAAATTTCAAAGTCGAGAGCCTAACAACACACTTGGACGCGATTTTTGAGAACAAACATGACTTAAGATTAGTGCTGAAATTTTGGACGGACTGTCTGCGACCGCTCAAAAATACTGATTTTATGCTCGATGCCCGACCCGACCTACCCAAAATTTTTGGGCCGCCCGCTTGAGCCCAAGAAGGCCCGTGGACGGGCCGCGGACCTGGCTTTGGTTGCCCGAGCCCGTCCGAAATGCCCGAAAAAATTATTTTTTTTATATTTTTATAATTATTAAGTTATTATATAAAAACTAAAATCAACATTCAACACACATTATTAACACAATTTAATAAATTAATTTTGTATATTAATTTTTAAATTCGTAATTCATAATTGTCTGGTTAAAAATCTTACCAAGAAAAACTCAATTGGGATAAAAACTTGATAAGAAAAAAAGAGTGCAATCATTTTGTGACGAATTATAAATTTGACAAACTTACAAAGTCTAAATATACAATTACAATGTCAAAAGTAAATACATATTTACAAATTACAATTTAATTTGAAGCTGAATTATCATCTTCAAAATTAAATGTTAATCTATTAAATTCATCAATCCATTCTTGACTTGTCGGCGAAATTGTATCATGTAAACGTTGATCAGCATGATCCCAATCCTTAATGCAAACCAAGGCTTCAACAATGTTCTTTTGCAATGCGTTTTGGGGTTCTTCAAGTATACGTCCGGTCATACTAAAGGCTTACTCGGATGAAACAGTGGAGACTGGGATCGAAAATATATCCATTACCAATCGAATAAGGATTGGCCAAGTTAATGCTCGTGCCCTCCACCATTGAACTAAGTCAAACGATTCTCTAGTATCGTCGACTACTAAGCTCTCACTGAGTGTAACGCCCTCCGAAATTAAACTTGTTTAATTATGATAATTGTGGTTTATTAGTGTGCCTAAATTGATTTCTTAATTAATCATGAACTTTTAAATTTATTTTTGGTAATGGCAGTTTCACCCCTTTTTACTTTTATGTGTTTTCTTTATTATTTCATTTCCTCATTTTATTTTCCCTTTTCTTCTTTTCTTTTCCTTCTTTCTTTCCTTTTCCCTCCTCTCCCGTAACCCTCTCACTCACTCAACCTCTCTCTTAGTCTCTCCCTCTCTCCCTCACCGAGCTCTCTCTCTCTCTCTTTCTCTCAAGTTTTCCCTCTCTTTCAAGAACATTCTTGAACCGGATTTGAAGAAAAACGGGGATTTCTAGGGGATTTTCAACATCAAAGCTTGGATCGAGGTAAAACTCTTTGAAACTTACTTTAGATTTTCGGATTTAGATTTGTGGAACTCATTTTAGTCGAGTTTGGTGATTTTTAGTTTAAATTTTGTTTTTAAATGGAATCTGAATGGGATTTGGTGAGACCTTGATGAAAATTGGGGGTTTTTGATTCTTTGGACCCCATTTGTTGATTTGAAACTGGATCTATACATTTCCCTTGAGAATATGTCGAAATCGGACCCAAAATTACAGGTTTTAGCTTTGTTCTTCGCAAATCGGCCATTGTTGGCCTTGGAATTTTTCCCCACCGGTTGACCGGTCCGGTTGACCGGTCACCCTTCCATAGGTCGACCGATCCGGTCGACTGGTCACCTTTCCACCGGCTGACCGGTGGAGCTACATTTTTCTGTCACCGGTCGACCGGTTCCCACTGAAACCGACCCTAAACAGCCCAGAAAACCCTGTTTTGACCCCGAAACTCGATGTGGGATTGACCTAACCTCATTTGAGAACTCAAAATGAGTGGATTAGCCACATGAATCCTTGTTTTCCATTTGATTCTCTGGAATGAATCTCCGTTGTCAAAGAATCATGATTTGAATTAAAAAATTATTTATGAACATTGATTTTGAACTATGGCACACTAGTATGATACACTTGCATCTAATTAAACGAGAATGTTTGGTGAGAAAGATCAAACTCTAAATTGTTGATTTTGATGGGAAAGTTAGTGGCACGATTGGAATTGGAACCTCGAAGGCAAGCGGAGCTAGAGCTACGTGAAGACAGCCACAGGTTTGATATCCAAAAGGTAGGATATTCTTGTCCATATCTTTATTAGCCTTACTTTAAATGGTTTTAGCCAATGAAAATGTTTTAGAACAAAACATGTTGAAAGAAAATGATTTTAAAAGGAAATAGCATGAGTAATGCTATTAAGTTTTCCAATGATTTTGGAAATGAGATTTTAAAGAGTATCATTTCTTAAAATGAAATATTTAAGGAATGATACAACGCATGGTGGCCACAAAGATCGGGATGTGGGAATCACATCCTTGGGGGCAGGTCCCGAAACCCGTACGGATCCACTTCTTGTTTAGTGGAATTATGGCTCTGCACTTTTCATAGACAGACATTTTTACCGCTTCTTGTTTAGTGGTATGATGAGCTACACACTTTCATTATACAGACATATTCTATTATGTGAGTATTTCCTTTTTTCAAAAAAAAAAAAAAGGATGATCGGTTCCGAGTGTATATCTTCGGACCATAAGTACCTTTATTTTAAATGCTTTATAAAATTATATCCTACTGGGCCTTTCGCTCACCTTTTTCTGTTTTCAAATGTATTAAACCCCTCCAGGCGACGCCAGAAGTAGTGCGGAGTAGATAGCTATTACCGGCGACGTGGACTTGTTTCAGGAAAGCGAAGAGTTGTATTTTCTCTAATCCCTTATCTCAAGGCATGTATGAAAGATTATGGATTGTAAACTTAAATATTACTAGACTGTGGTTGATGTCACATTTACTCTTGTTTATATTCATGTATGCTAAACACCTGTGGAAATTCCTGACATGATACCAAGGACGTGGTTTTAAACTGGTTTGATTGGAAATTCCACCACCGTTCTTGAAATTAAATTTCTCTTAAATGAAAAGGGCTCGTTTGGAAATACCTGGATGTTTTGGATTTAAAAAATTAAATTATTTACAACGTTAATTACTAATCACTCTCTCTAACAGGTTTAAGTTTCTAAATGAGCCTCCACGTCACTAACCCCGGTTTGGGGGCGTGACACTGAGGTAGGCTATAAGCTCGTTGAAGCCGCCGCTGCCGCTGCTACCTGTTGATGAAGATCCACTCCCAGCTTCTGTTTGAGTCGTCTTCTTCTTCTTCTTCAACCCGAAAACATTCAAAAATGAATGCGAGTTTTCATCTTGTTGTTACGGTTCCTGTATTCTAAAATTTGTGTTTCTAAACCTATTCTCATATTTACTATAGATCGGAAATATTTTTGCCTTTATTGTTGGAAATTAGTCAGAATAATTGATGCCTAAAAATTCACCTAAGTTTTCTAAACTAATTTCTAAACCGTCTAATTTTAATCTAGGATAAAAAATAGTACCCAAACCATACAACAAAGGCAAGTTATACCAATATTTTTTAAATTTTTTTTCCATAGAAGCGATAGGAACTCCTAAGATTGGGTATGCCATATATTCACTAAATAAAATACTAATTCTTAAAAGTTCACCTAAAGCTAAAGGTGATGTTGGGTAATATGTTCCATTAAGTTTTAAAGTAACTTCATGAACCTACCTAAAAATTGATACCAAACTTCGGCAATTTGCTAATCATATGCGTCTATATGTCATGTTCCTAATTTTACACAGATATAGTTTATTATAGCATCCTTATAGGGGATGCATTGTTGAAGCATAATATAAGTTGAGTTCCATCTTACAGGCATATCTAAGACTAATGCTCTAGGAGGTAGATTTAATGCTTATAAGAACCTAAACCAATCTTGTTCTCTTTGGTTACTACCTTGAATCCATGCAATATTATCTCTAATTCTTTTAATGTGAGTACCCATTTCTTTTAAACCGGATTTAACTATTAAATTAATTACGTGGCATGCACAACTTTGGTGGAAATTAGTACCATCACCGAATAAACTTAAATCATTTTTGAAGTACTCAATTGCTTTAGTATTTGCACTAGCATTATCTAATGTTATAGCCATTACTTTATCTCGTAATCTAAATTCATCAATTACATTTAAAATTGTATTATATATTAAATCAGTGCTATGTGATCCTAAAACACATTTACAACCTAATATTCTCTTATCTAAATCGAATCCTTTAAAGTAATGTTTGGTTACAGCTAAATAATCTTTATTGACAACGGCAGACCAAATATCTACTGTTAACGCAATGCAACCACTAGTCGAGTGTAAAAGGTTTATTAATGCTTCTTTTCTTTTTTAAATAATTTTAACAAATCTTTCATGAGAGTAGTTTTTGAAGTGAACTGTGCATTAGGATTATGTACAACTTTAATATGTCATTGCCAATTAGGATGCTCTACAAAACTAAGTGGTTGATCTAATGCAGCTATCATTCACACAACTTCCATACGATCTACTTGGGGATCGTATTTCTAAGTGGTTAGACCAGCGGTTGCGCGATCAAAAGATAATTGTGTTTGACGGAGTTCGGCTCCGCCGGACTTGCTAAGCTTTTGAAGACACTTTTCGAAGTGTCTTCTCAAGTGTGGTGTGCCGTGAATAGTGTCACATTGTAATTTAGATAAATAATATTTACACTGAACTATATGTTTAGTGTTACCTTCATTTTCGATCTCCTCAATTGTGTTGAAGTGATCCCAAACTATTGAGGTGCGCTTGCATTTCCTCCTGGAGGTTGCAACACTTGCAGATGCAGTAGTACTTGCACTCGCCACTTCTCCACGCCCACCACCATTCCGACCACGACCTCTAGTACGTCTATCAGGGTTCAGATTAGCAGATTCCTGCGTAATAAATTCATTAGTGGGAAATTGCCCTTCTTCCGCATTATGTTGGGCATCAACGGGAGTACCATTATAACTAAAAGAATCCATTATAAAAAAAAATAAGAGCGATTTGAAAGAGAGAGCTTTAGGATATTGTGATAGTTTTAGGAAAAATTTTGAGAGAGATTTGCGAGATTGAGAGAGATTGAGAGAAATTGAGAGAGATTGAGAGAAATTGAGAGGGATTGAGAGAGTTTGGGTGAGGAAAATGTGTGAGGGATGGGGGGTATTTATAAGGAAATTTTTTGGTTAAAAATTTGTTTTTTTTCCGCCAAATTTTGATCCAACAGTTATTTTTTATCTCGGCGGGTCGAGTTCGGGCGGGCTCAAGCTGAAAATCGGGCAACGGTAAAAGAATATCCGTTGGATTCGGGCTTCGGTTCAGATCGGGCACCAACAGTCAAAAATATATCCGTTAGTCGGGCTCGGACTTCGAGCAAGTCGGGTCGTTCAGGCTTGAGTGAAAAAATTCAAAAAAATTATGGTGGAGGGCAATATCACGGCGGCGGGCTCCGACGAGTTGTCTATTTTCGGGCTGCCCGCCAAGCCTGAAAAATTTGAGCTTCAGGCTTCGAGTCGGCCCGCCGGCCCAAAGTTCCAACACTACTTAAGATTATATCTCAAAAGGTCAATATGTTAAAATCAAACTTAAGTATTAAAACTAGCTAATTTAGATCCTAATCTGCCACAGCCTAAACAATTCAAAAATTCTGGATAAAGCGTAAATAAAACGTGAAATAAATATTATAAGGGCTGAGGACGATTATTAATGCGTTGTCGTTGATAAGTGGTGATCAAGTTTATTTTAAACTGTTCTGAGATGTTTGTTTCAAGGGTTCGTCCTTAATTTTAAATTATGGTTTTTGATTCTCTACAGTATTTTTTTCTCACAAAAAAATTTAAATTTTAAAAATTAAAATTATAAATCATGATTATAAATCCATGAACTAAGCGTGTCATCGTCTTCTAATTTTTTCTTCCCTAAAGAACTCATATATATGCTATAATCACCCTTCCGAAGCTTGGCCCCAAACTGTAAACTCACAAAAAAGTCGCAGAGAGTCCAGTCTTTTACCTTATTTCATGTTATTTATGAGGGACGTGGTTCCAACAAATGATTTTTTTTTTTTTTTTTAAAGTAAGGGGTAGGGTAATTTAACATCAGCTACATATAATCTACCTCCCACGAGAGTAATTAAAGTAACTTTTTTCTTTTTTGGTACGTAGAAAATAATTAATTAACCAACCTAGCTCATATATACGGAATATGAATATAATAGGTTTACATGCATATGTAGCAGTACCAGTGAGTCAAGTCCAACCGTTATTCTATAATACAATTTCTATATAGCTAACATTTGGTAGCTACAGAGATCAGTATTGGTCATATCATCTACTTCAACGACCAACGTTGTATTTTCCAACAGCTTTCTACTAGAGATTTCCTACATTTGAACTACTAAGTATAAGCCTTTCATGATCTTCAGCATTTTATTTTCCTATGAAAATGGAAACACTTGCTGATAAAAAAAAAATTGTCATTTCTCAATAAGAATAATTATGCTTCGACCTTGTCAATAAGTATTAATGCCTGAATTCTTGCTTTTCTGTCCCTGGCGTATCAACTAATTATTATCCACCGCCAGGAACCAAGTCACCAATCCTACTCGTATAAGGCATAGAAATTAGGGTATAATAACAAACTTATAATAATGATATGAGAAAGTGTTTAGAGTTAGCATTGATTTGGAATGAATATAATTTTTGTTGTTACACAATTCTAAAGTTACTGTTAATGTCATAAATATCATGTTACACTTCAACTTTTATGCATTACTACTCATATAACTAATCATGTTTGAAATAATACTGTCTATATTGATCATGTTGAATGATAAGACTTAATAATAACTTTAAGAAGTAAACTGACGATTTTTTTTCCTTGTTTCCTTTTTATTAGTTTCTTTTCATTTATGAAAACGTTATTTTGATAATTAACAAATTGAGAAGTAACTTAATTAAACGACAATATATGATATTGTTAAGAAAGTGACTTAAATTAGTTTTGGCAAAGTTATTATTTTGTGTTTTTGTGTAAGTTATTGTTTTCAGTTTTTGAGTGAGAGTTATTTTATGATTTATTATGAGTATAAAGAATGTTTTGTGTAAGACTTTATGTGTGTGTTCAGAGAAAAGTGTAGAGATTGAATGTTTTCTTTTGAGAGAGAGAAAAGTGAGGGGAGAGATAGACAAAGGCCTAAAGATTTTTGGGTAGAGAGAGAAAGTGAGCAAGTTTATTGAGTGTATAATTCTTAAAACTGTTAATAAATTTTTCTCACTCTTCCATGGATGTAAGAAATTTTTCTGAACCACCTAAATTTTTATCTTCTCTATTTTCTGTTATTTTTGTTTCAGTTTAATTTTTTACTGCATAAATATAAGGATGTGTTTTTTCCTAACATATATTTATCCTTAAAAAAACTTCAAGATATGCTCTTAAAATAAGAGTAATTATGTTGTTTAATATTTAAGAATCATTTTATCTTTATTTTTACTTTTACTTTTCTTTCTAATCTCATTACCTTTTATATATTCGTTTATGATTTGGTAAACAGGGCCCAAGTACATATTGTCGTTTGTAGTTTGAAAGTTTGATGTCGTTGCAAAAAAGACAGGCCATTTGGATTGTTTTGTTTAGTGAACGACGTATTTCTTTTTTAAGATTTTGATGTCGTTTGAAGTGTAAGCTACGTGTCATTTGTCCGCAAAGTCGTTTCTGTAAGCAAAAGTCGCAAAAACGCATACCGGTTCTCTCTCACTTTTTCTTCACTAAACGGCATGATGTCATATTTGATCAAATACGACGTCGTTCAACATATAAACGACACATAATTTGTCACCTAATTTGTGTAATGTGCATAGCTCAAGACCAAAATGACGTATCGGTTTCTTTTAGCGCTTTCAGTTCAGTGTATTGCTGTGTCATTTCCAGAAAGTAAGAAGCGTTGTTTTTAAGATTACTTCCTTCTCTCTCTCTCTCTCTCTCTCTCTCTCTCTCTCTCTCTCTCTCTCTCTCGTTTGTCTAAAATTCCTGTCGTTTTATAGGTAAAATGATTGATGTAATGTTGTTGATGGAGAAAAAATTTAAAAGACCAGCGCGTTTAAAGTCTGAGCGTGGACATGGATTCCGTTTAAGCATTCGCTGTCTTTATCCTAATGGACATGTCCTTGGCGTTTAAGAACTAGTCGTTGATAGAGACTTGTCTATTGTCGTTCAAAAGTCTGACAAAAACGACATGCCGTTCTTGTTTAAAATTGTTAATCGGCTACAAACGTCAAGTAGTCAGAAACACGACATGTCATTTTCATATGAACGCACGACTTCACATATTTCGAAAAACTACTGCAGAAATTCAGCACACAATAAAATGTTCTTCGGTCAAGATTTGCATGTTCAGCAATACACCAGCTAAATTATTTCTTTCCCTTTGTTCAAAACTCTCAAGGAAAAAAAAAGTACCAATACTAAATCAAACAAAGCTAATACATCAATAGGATCTACAAGACACAACATAGATAACACATAAAAGTAGCCTAACAGACAAGAAAAGACAAAATGTGAATTATCCTACTCATGACAGAGCAAATTCTTATTCAACAGATGAAGGCACAAAAGTGAGCTTGCAAATTTCATATAATAGGACCATTAAGTGCATAATATATCATGTTGTGCAGCTCTGAAAAATTCCCAGCCAAACCATTGAAATACTCTTGAAGATCTCATCTCAGTTTGAATTCTAGGGCTGTGATGGTGTAGGAGATGTTGGTGGCTTAAAATCTGGATACTGCAACCATAAAACAAAATCATCAAAAAGATGTATCATTTTAATATGAAAGAAACCAAAAACCAGAAAAAAAAAAAAAAAAAAAAAAAAAAAAAAAAAAAAAACCTTGGTAAATTGTGACAAAATGTCTCTCTCACAAATTAGAATGCACCAAGTACGTCATTTTCTAGGTGTAACATTACCTTGCTGATAGGAATGATAACTTAAGATATTTCTGGTCTTTTTCTCCTGATTTCAGACCAGTTAAATAAAAAGGAAAAAAATGGTATCAAGGACATTTCATGTCCTAAACATCGACTTTAGGGTACCAGAATAATATTTTTAAAATTTGAGGATACCATTTTAGTAGTATCAAAGGATGGGGTATCGAAATGCTCTTTTGTCTTTCAGAATTAACTTTGTTACCATCTAGATGTAATATTACTTTGGTGATAAGAAATGGAAAGAAGAATAACAACTTATTTATAACCAAAAGACGGTTGAAAGTAGTTAGTCACTTGGAATCAGCTTCAAACTCCAAAGACATAGATTTAAGAATACAAACAAAAAGAAAAAAAGCACATACTGCCGGGTACGGTGAAAGATATTGTGAGACTGTAGGAAGAGATTCTGCTTTATTTTCCGTTTGGGGTACTGAATTTATTTCTTGTGTTGGTTCTGCAGTTGCTTCTACTTTTGGCTCAGGAATAGTTTCTGCTTTCTGAACAGTACTATCTGCGGTGGCTGGACTTGGGTTTGCTTCCGTCGGTGTAGGAAGAGCCTTGCTGGTCCCTGTTGTTGGTAGAATGGCTATTCCAATTTGCTGAAGTTTCCAAAAATTGAAGATAAATACAGCATAGAATGGTTAGTTAAAACAATAAATTGCAATATATATATATATATATATATATATGTATATATGAGGCACAAGTTTAGATAAGTACCTTTACATCATCAACGAGCTCTTGAGGGGCAACCTTGGTGGTCAAGAACTCATCAAATTGTTTCAGAGTTTCTTTCCTATCCTGTCAGGCAAAGCTCTTAAACATGAATTATTTTATTTGAGTTTTAAAGAAAAGAAAGATTAATCTTGGGTGATCGAATGTCCTCATAAGTTTGTGATTTATTTTCATATCTAAATGATGTTGGACTCGGGTTTATTTAATCCTTTACAGAAAGATATGAGGGATGAGGACCCACCTCGGCAAATAGGAATTTCTTGCTCACAAATTGAACAACTGCAGCTGATCCTAAAACTTGGAGTATTGTTTCTACCTATAAAAAAACACACTTCAATCTTTCACAAGACAAAATTTCTCACACTAAAAGCTAAATCAAAGGAAAGAAAAAAGGCAGTTTGTGAAGGAATTGTCAGTCTAACCTCTTGAAATGCCAATAAACCCAACCCAGCTGCTGCAGCAATGCCAAGAGGGAGAGACAAACCACCTGAGCCCTCCTGCACATTAATCCCGCAATAAGCTATACATAAGAAGCACCATACTAAAATCACAAAGAAAAAAGTATCACTCCAAGATAGTGAAAAATGCAAGACATTGGTCACTAAACAGTTGAAAACGGTCCTGAAATATCGAGACACATACTCCGATTACATCACTAAAAGCGTCTGTCAAATCGCTAAGGTCCAAACTCAGTGCTTTCTTTGGCGGTATCCATGGAAGACTGCTATTCTGCAAAAGAGCAATCCGTGTGACGAATCATAGTGTTAATACTTGTATTCTAAAAGTTGCAATAAATGGAAACTTAGCAGAAGAAAAGGAGGAGAGACCTTCCATCCTCGTGGTCCTTCCGCTCCGTCCTTTATAGCATAAGCAGCTTTGAATCCATTTACAGTGACCAACTCAGCAACCAGTTCAGAGTTCCCACCAAATCTGGCTTCCAGTCAGAAAGGCATCAGCATTACTTTCTCATATTAGCTTTCGAAATCACAAACTTGAAATCAAACATTACCAGAGAACTGATATTCGTATAAAATAATGTAGCAAGAATCAGATATAGAATAAATTCACCAAATCCCCTAAAGAAAAAAATAAATTCACCAAATGTTGGACATTCACTAGCTGAATGAGTTCGTGTTAATGTTATCCTAAATACCTCGGACCAGTAACATTTAGCTTTATACTCTTCTTAAGAATCAACAATTCTATATCACTCTCACATTTTGTTTCAATTTTTTAATCTCCTGAGCATCATATCGAAAGATGCATACGATTAGGTGATAATTAACAAAACTCTTACATTTCTTTCAAACTCTTTTCTCCTTGCAGTTTGAATTTACTCAATCATAGGATGGCATAACATAACTGTCAAGATCAGGAAAAGAAAATATGAAATAAAGCTACAACATCTTACTTGTCAAGGATGAACAATGTGGTATTTTCTGGTGCCTTGAACTTGAAAGAAAGCTTCTTTAAGAAACCCGGCTTATCTTCACCTTTGTAGACAATAGACACGGGCTTCTTTCCCAAGCCCCGGATGTCAGGACTACCCACTTGCCTAAACTCAACACTCGGTCTTATATCAAGCAACTGAATACTGGAATCCTCACCAAGTCTTGCATAAGCATTCCTTGCAGACTCAACTCCCCAAGGCTTAGGATTCTTCAGAAGCTGAGACACAATCAACGGAACAGCCAAAACGGCGGCCCCGCCGGCTAAAACGACAGGATTCTCCGAGGCAAAGCCGATGGCGCTATTTAGAACCCCATTGACGTCCAAGCCCCCATCCAAGGAGCTCCCCACAGACTGTTGTAGTGCTTCCTCATAAGTCAATGCTTTGGCAAGACCAGTGTTGAGAACTGAAGATAACAGAACTAAACCCCCTTGGATCTTTCTAGAAGAGTTTGATAACTTTGGATAAACTGCTGAGGATTTTCTTGGCTCTTGTTTTCTGTCAGAAAGCACTGCTGATATGGGTGTCAAGCCTGCCGCATTGAGGGCCTCCATGGCATAATTCTGGTCTCCTACAACAAGACTGTTTTTCTGGGGTCTCTCAAACAAGTGGTGGAAAACTTCTATCCACCATGAAAATACAAAGGTTTTACTAAGCAGGCTATAATGTTTTCTCTCTTGGGATGATTGGACGGTGAGAAAGAAAGAGAGAGAAAGGCAAGGATTGTAAGGCTAAGCTTCAGAAGATGCAATTTGGAAGGCGTCTTTAGTTGGAGGAAAGTGCAGACAAGAAATGGGATGAGAGGGGTTTGGCCATTCAGAGCATGACACGTGGCAGGTGAGGATGATAAGTTGCTGATTTGGAAGGTCTTGGTGGCAATGAGTTCATGGTCCGTTCACTTCGCTGATTTGAGTTTATAATTTGAGTTGAGATGTGATTTTATATGAGAGCTTTTTACTGTAATAAAAAAGTTAGATGTGACTGTTTCTAAGAGCTTTTTACTGTAACAAAACTCGAATTCTAAACTCAAATCGACGAAATGAACGGGACCTATGTTGTCCTAGATTGTGTGGCTAGGAAAAAATCTATACCACTGTTTAGAAATTACAGCACATGGAAGAAAAGTCGAAGCTGCTAGTACATTCCTTTGTAGTACAGATAGATTATTGTATTTGCTGGGGAGATTAACCAATAATTATTAACCATCAAGCTCTTATCTATAAGCTTGATCAGAGATTTTAACATGAAAATTGGAAGATGCTAGTACATGTCATGTCCTGTCCTGTACAGTAAAGTAGTACAGAACAGGCTTATCTTCATCAACTCGATCGGAAAAGAGGGGAGAAAAACAATTAAGAGACAAGAAAAGGATGGAATTTTGAAATCCTTCCAACTCCATTTTTTTGTTTTATCTATCCATCTGCCTTTCTTTCTTTCTCCTCCTCCCCATCTTTTTTTTTTTTTTTTTAGAGTTGTATAGTGAGGTATCAAAGTAATTCTCTACAAATAAGACAGTTCAAAATCACACGTTTAGTTTATAAATTCAAAATCATGATTCAAAATTATTCTCGATTTACGTGTGTTTTTTTGTGAAAAAAAATACTGTAACGAATCACAAATCATGATTCGAATCATAGCACGAATCCACCAAATCATATAAGAATCATGGTAGATCAATATATATATATATATATGACAATTAACAGAATTGGATGAAGATCCAGTTAGAACTGCGTCATCTGCGTCATACTATTTGATTAGGATTAATTTGTGCATACCCCACTACAAAGTTCTCCTGTTTTTTTTTAGCCACTACGAATAAGAATTACTGAATTAGTTATACATGATACATGAACAACCTCAAATTGGCTAGAAAAATAAGGTAGAAAAGCGTGTTGCATTTCACAACCCTTGATTAAAGAAACGCTCTGCGAGAGCAAGTGGTTGTTTTGGATGAAAATTTTTAATACATGAAATGAAGCTGCAACCTGCAATAAGATTTAGTGCCGACTACTAATAGATCAAAAAGAACTCTTCCAGCTACTGCTATATTCAACTATAACTTTGTTACAATTTCAACAATATGTTAAATAAAAGACATCAGACTGCTCTATAGAAGATCAAAAAAGTAATCAAGACCTTGCCCAATTTCCCAGATTGAGATGCCACATCCCCATTTCCGAGCTTCCTCTAGCCTCGTCGAAATCGACATCAACGATGGGTAGAATACAGCATGATTGATGTGCTTATCATCAGAGTAAAAGAACAAATGTTCCGCACTGTTCTGTTCCCATTGCAAACGTGGTTTGTGCTTCTCCAACAATGACAGATAATCACTTCCAGTTATAGCTCCACCACCACCACCTGCATTGTCAATAAAATCAGTACCCTCTTTTTTTTTTTCCATAAATGAAGAGAGACAAAACCTATCGATGAGAACAAGAATGATCAAAGAAGCCTCAAGACAATGTTACCTTCTGCAAGAATAAAATCATTTCCATAGAAATTGATGCCAAGAAAAATCTTGTGGGCGAGGCCCCAAACGCCTTTGCGGTTGCTACCTCGGAGCAACTCCAGCGTGGAACTAATCCACTTCAGAGGTGCATTGGGACCTGGATTGTGCGGACCTGAGAAGTCATATGTCATAAGTGAGAATTCATCCACATCGTCACCCAAGCTCTGAAGATCATCAGGTCCGAAATCATGTGCCTGGAGCTTCTCTGAATGTGGTGGACCTATAACATACACCAATTCCAACGGCAGCTTATCGTTCCCCTCGGAGATAACAGAATGCAGTGCATGTCCCAGCTGTTTTATGAACTGCAATGCCTAGGCTTGCAAAACCGAAAATGATTCCTCAGAAATATATACATGATCAGATAGAGAAATAGATCAGCAGAAGGGGCAAAACAGAGCAATACTTACTGAGTTCCGTGTGCTTGGATCATGCAAAACACCATAAGCAGCCCACCTTGACCAAGATTCTAGCACAATACCATCATATCCCATTTCCCTAAACACAGAAAGGATCAGTGCCAAGATGAGTGAAAATGTTTCTTTGCAAGGAAAACATAGAGGTTAACATAATTCCCACCAGATGGGGAAAAAAAAAATGATACAACAGCAAAATGACCCTTGAGATATCATTCAGGCACCAATCAGCTCTAATAAGAACAAGTTCTAGCGAATTTAAAAAAGTCCATGGGAGCACGCTAAAATAGAAGTTTACTTGCACTCGTTAACTATGAGGTTAATGGCTCTATTCCTCTGCTTCTTCTTTGTAAGCAGCTCCTTGGGAAATACTTCGAGAACAACTCTAGGTAACACCTACAGTAGCACATAAAACATTCGAAAACGATCATGGAATGTGTCACTCAACTACGCGTAAAACCGTAAAAGCACATACCATGTTACCAAGGACTGATAAGTGACAAAAAGAAATCAAATTTTTGAAACGTGACTAATGTCAAAATGGAAGCTTTTCCTTTCCGGACTTATACTCCTCATGAAGCTCAATTTCATTACAAGTTCAATAATTAAATAATCCCTTCAAACCATGTGTACCAGTTAGGTTAGAAATACCTGTATATTTTTGTTGTCATTACATAATTATTAAAGCTAGTTACACGTTAATTTTCAAATGAATAAATAAGAAAATTTTCCGTCATACCCTAGCATCTCCTGCCTTCCGAAGCTGTGATATCCATTCAATATCAGCATTATGTCTACCTTCAAGAACCAAGTTGCTTCCTTGACTAACAAGAAAAGAAGAAGAAGGAAAAAATCAAAACCCAAACGGCAATATAGCAGATTAGTCATTGGAGTTGAATGATCTCTTGGAGAATTGATACCTTTTCAAGTCATACCAGACTGGTGATAAATGCGTCAACTTGGAGTTGAATCTCTTGGCCATTTCGTAGCCCTTTGAATTCCTACATTAATTTAAAATAAGAGTAGCTCATCTACACCGAACTTTGTAACCAAAAATGTTTTAGACAAATTAGACTACGAATTCAATCAAATCAACATGAAATAATAACAGCAGTCACCGTTCATGAGTATTGTGTCACTTTGATCCCCGAACTTTTTTTTCTTAGTAAATTACTCCTAGAACTTTGTTTTTTGGTCATTTTAGTCTCTAACATTAAAATTGATGAAGGCTTTTTTAAATTAACAGCGATAATAACATCTATATTGCACATAGTAACTGAAAGTTTTACAGAATAGTTAGATGAAATGCAGAATATTCAAGTTTGTAAGGATTTTGAACAACAATGTAGAGGACAATCTTCTTTTCATATAACTACTTTTATAGAACTTCCAGATTATATGCAATTGAGAGGAGATTCCCTGTTAAATTTTAAAAATCTTTTGTCAATTTTAATATCAATTTCTAAAACTGCACCCAAAAAAAAAAGGGGGGAGTAATCTATCAAGGAAAAAATTTTCAGAATCAAAATGACACAATGCTCATAGTTCAAGAACTAACGGTGCTTATGGCCCTAATAAATAAATGACAAAAATAAAAATGTCTAAATATTTTACCAAACATCAAAAGCACACCAGATTAATTTATATTCGACCAATAAAAACTGGCATTAGAAATGGTTAATGGTAAAAGAGTATTGACAACCATCAAATTAATCAAAACAGAGTTATATAAAGGCATACCATGGAGTAATATAGGCTAACACAGGGTAGCTATAATGCCGGCGAGACACATTTTCTGAAACCTTCGTATTTTCCTGAGTTCCATACAGGTAAATTACACGCCAAAAAAAAAAGAAAAAACCAAAAGAAAAAAACACTAAAGATGTGATTTTTCACTCTTCCACAGAAACAGTTGCTTCAAATTTCTCAGTAACCAAACAGAGAACAATGGCAAGAGGAAAATCCAAGCTTAATTAAATTCAAAATACACCAAAAGATTGATCTTCGTGTCTCAATACTTACGGAAAGAATTTCGTGGTAATTCATATCAGGCTTGACGAGGCCTCGTTGGTGGACGTAAGAATCGTCCGTACGAGTCGTACGCGATGCGTACTTCATTTGGTAGATGAACGCAGCGATCGCGGGAGATATGATGAAGAAGACGACGAAGATGATGACGGGCCTTCGGTCTGAGGAGGCAGAGTCAACGAGTTCTTCATTCTGAATCGTCTGTTCGACTCTGTCGGCACGGCGATTCGAACTCGGTGCGACTCGGCGGTCTCGCTTCTTCGCCATTTCCGAGATCTCCGAGTTCAGGCAACTCTGAAGGAGTAAACTAAAGGTAAAAGGCTCAAAGCCACGTTGGGGAAGATCATTGGCGATCAGGTGTGTTCGAATCTATAGTACGTAACATGTAGGCGAATCTTCTCCTCTCATGCGAACTCGTGGACCAATAATTTCCGGTGAGAAATGCTGAGTTTATTTTTGCTGACACTCTCTAAATTTAAGTTTGACACGGAATATATTATGGTTCTGTTTATTTCATCAATTTGAGTTTTGTTATAATAAAAAATTTTTAAAAATTATCATATCTAACTTTTTTAATACAGTAAAAAATTTTCACATAAAGTCACATCTCAACTCGAATTAAAAACTCGAATCAGCGAACTAAACGAGCCATATGACTTAAGAAGAAAATGTGGTAATAGAGTCTAAGTGTGAATGTAGATAGTGACAGAAAAAATAACCCTAATATTTCTCATTTCTAATGCCCACATTACTCCTTAGTTGTATTTTTTTAGGAAAAAAAACCTTAAATAAGACATTTATTTTATGTACTCAAACTCAAATAATTAATTTTATTAGTGTTTTCCTCTCACAAACCTTTATTTTGCTCTTAATATTTAGCTCTTTTTTCCCTTCAAAAAAAATTTATAGCTCTTTATTTCTTCAGTCATTCGGCTGAACCATGAGTTTCAAAAATGGTAGAAAAAAGAGTGTATATATAATTATTTAGATTATTATCGTTTATATCTCTTGAACTCTGAGGTCATCCCCACTTTATCCCCTGAACTTTGAAAATCCTCACTTTATCACTCTAAATTTGTATGAACTTCCACTTTACTCCTTCCCACCAAATTTCCGTTCAAAAGAGACAAAAAACGTCTCAAATGCACTCGCGTGCATGGTGTTTAAGGGTAAAATCGTAATTAAATTTTTAGTAATTTACACCTATGCCTCTTTAACTTAGAAGTCGGCCCCACTTTACTCCTTGAATTTTAGAGTTGTCCACATTTTGCCCCTTAAACCTTTTCATAGCTTCCACTGTACTACCCCAAACTTTGAATCTTTCTCTCTTTGCTCCCTCTACTTGATTAAGATTGCACCCGCTCACTCGTCTCTGTAGTAATCTGATCACCCAATATGATTTTTCTTCTTTTCTTTGATTTTCTAAATACAGTTTGATCCTTTTATCATTTTTATTTTCTATTTGAATTATTTTCATTGATTTGAATCGTAGCAAGACATGACAGTATCTGACTTTTACTAAAATGTTGATACTTGTAAAAGTCAATCTAAATTATACAAATTCATCTTAAAACACTTTATCGATTTTTTGTTTATATCTCTAAAAAATTTCCACAAAATATTTCGTCATCTAATGCTACACTTTTCAAAATGAGAGAAATTCAAAGTTTGAAGTAGTATGAAGGGAACAATGAAAAAGTTCAAGAGACAAAGTGGATGCGGCCTCAAAATTTAGGAGGACAAAGTGGGGGCGACTCCAAAGTTTAAAGGACAAAGTGAAGGTGGCTCTAAAGTTGAGGGGCATACGTGCAAATCACTAAAAGTTCAATTACGATTTTACCCTTAAACAGTATGCATGTGAGTGCGCGTGAGACATTTTCCATTTCTTTTAAACGGAAATTAGGATGGAAGGGGCAAAGTGGAAGTTCATGAAAATTTAGGATAATAAAGTGAGAATTTTTAAAGTTTAAAGAATAAAATAGGGGTGACCTCAAAATTCAAGAGCATAAGTGATAATAATCCTAATTATTTTCTTCAGAATTTGAGTTTTTCCTTTTCAATGTGTGACTAACATCCAAACTCAGAAGCACAACAACAAAGTTTGAAACTTTCTAATAGTATGTTTACCTACACGTAATCAGAATGGACATGAATCTAAGTGGACATGATTCATAATAAAAAATTAGAATTAAAATGATATAGTATAAAAATACTAATATATCTTTTAAGTTAATTTTATATTTTTAATTTAAAAATAAATTGTGTACTTACTATATTAAAATTAATCATAATTAAATATTTAGTATAATAATAGGGTAGATAGTGTTAAAAATTAAAATATATTATTAATTTATTAAACAAATAAAGTAGATATTTATTATATTAAAGGTTAATATTATAATATTAGGTAAATAAAATAATATATATGTAATTATTATGTTTTGAATTAAATTTTTAATTTTATATTTATAAAATAGAGATATGATAGTAATTTAATGTTGATATTAAAAATGGAGTTCCAATTTTAAAAGGGTATGAGAATACTAATATTATTTTTTAATTTTAAATTTAAATAGGACCCACAAATCTCACTCTTATTCAAAGAAAAAAAAAAGAGTAAACATGAAATTAAATTTCATTCTTTAATCTTAACAAGTATACATGCCACAAACCTCGTTCATTTACAATCAATGTATGTTGCTTTTCATTTTCAGAGTAATTGCCGCCGGTTCTTATTTTTTTTTTAGGCATTTTGATAAATCTTTTATGTATTATTTTTACTATAGATGATTTATCATTATTTGGTTTTTTTTTATTTTAAAAAAGAGACATTTTAATGGTTGGACATTTTCCACCATTGATGGTATCTATTGGGCTTTTGATATTAATTGTTTTTTTTTTTTTATCTATTGGTTAATAGATACTTTCTTCTACTCAAAAAATCAAAACAAAAACAAGCACCCTTCCCCCCCCACCCCCAGAACCGGATAAACTCATCGTCCTCTCCCTCTTCATCTCCCTATTCTTTGTACAACTAGGGTTCCCATTAAATTTACAGCACCACAACCCTAAGCAAATCTTCTTCTTCTTCGATTTCGCTGCTCTCGTCTAAGAATCTGGTAAAAGTTATCGTCTTTAATCTGGAAACAGTACTTTCCCTTCACGCCCTTGGCACAACTGATGAAATCGGAGGAATTGGGGTTAGAGTTCTGCTGAGTTTCAAAGAAACCCCCGAGGAAGTAACGCCACCTTCGATTGCTTTCATTCTGGTCCCTGCGTTCCTTGCCTTTATTCCAAAAAGGTTTCTCTCTCTGATTTTACTGAAACTTTCCATATGTTTGTTTGGGAAATCTAGCAAATTCTGTCTCTTTTAAGCGTTTTGATTTTGATCATATTTTGCTTTATTTTGAAGAATTTGTTTTGACATTCAGAAGTTTTGTTTATTTAAATTTGTTTTTTTTCTCCCTTCTGAAAATGGAACCAAAGTTTTTACTTTCCACAACCAAAGCCTCAGTATGTTCTTCTTCTGTACCTTTCTTTCTCTCATACAAAACTCCTCTTCTTCAAATACCCAAAGATTCTGCAATCTCTCATTTCTCAAAGTCTCAATTTTTGGGCAAAAGTTTGGTTTTACAAGTGAGAAGAAATGGTTTTCTGAATAGCCCAAGAAAAACCCATTTCCCATTTGGACCAATTAGAGCTGCTGTGAAGAGGAGGAAAGAGATTCCTTTTGATAATGTTATACAAAGGGATAAGAAGCTGAAGCTGGTTCTGAAGATAAGGAAGATCCTTGTTGGCCAACCTGATAGAATCATGTCTCTTAAAGACTTGGGTCGGTACAGAAGAGACCTTGGTCTCCAGAAAAAACGGAGATTTATAGCGCTTTTGAAGAAATTCCCCGCGGTTTTTGAGATTGTGGAAGAAGGGGTTTTCTCATTGAAGTTTAAGCTCACACCTGAAGCTGAGAGGCTTTACTTTGAGGAATTGAAGGTGAAGAACGAGATGGAAGATTTGTTGGTTGTGAAGTTAAGGAAGTTGTTGATGATGTCGATGGAGAAGAGGATTCTGTTGGAGAAGATTGCTCATCTCAAGACCGATCTTGGACTTCCTGTGGAATTTCGTGACACCATTTGTCATAGATACCCACAGTATTTCAGAGTTGTTGCAACTGGGCGAGGCCCGGCTTTGGAATTAACTCATTGGGATCCCGAGCTTGCTGTTTCGGCGGCAGAGTTGCACGAGGAGGAAAATCGGGCTAGGGAGCTTGAAGAGAAGAATTTGATCATAGATAGGCCTCTCAAGTTCAATAGAGTTAAGCTTCCAAAGGGTCTTGTTCTCTCCAAGGGTGAGATGAGGAAGATAAGTCAGTTTAGGGACTTGCCTTATATATCACCTTACTCTGATTTTTCGGGTTTGAGGCAAGGCACGATGGAGAAAGAGAAGCACGCTTGTGGGGTTGTTCATGAGATTTTGAGCCTCACTCTTGAGAAGAGAACGCTTGTGGATCACCTCACTCATTTTCGAGAGGAGTTTCGGTTTTCTCAGCAGCTGAGAGGGATGTTGATCAGGCACCCGGATATGCTCTATGTGTCCTTGAAAGGTGATAGAGATTCGGTTTTCCTCAGGGAAGCATACCGTGATTCGCAGTTGGTTGACAAGGATCGGTTGACGATTATAAAAGAGAAGCTTCACTCTCTTGTTGCCGTCCCTAGATTTCTAAAACGAGGCGCTCCTCAAAGAACTGCAGATGTTGCAGAAGAGAGTAATGAGACAGAAGATGGAACTGGTGAAATTGGAGAAGGATGGTCTAACATTGACGATTTTATGGGTGATTCTGGTTTCGACGACGATGATGATGGAGAAGATGATTGGAGCGAAGATGATTGGAGCGAAGATGATGATGAAACGCCCCCAGATTTCGATGACGATGGAGATACTATGAGCATTGGAGTGGGAAATTCAAGTAAACAGGAAACCAAGTCGAGAAGGCGGGATGAGAAGAAGGTTCTTGTTCCTGTACTCCCTGACGGTCGGCCAAGAGAACGCTGGTAAAAGTGGCTTAAAACATTTTCATTATGTTTTTAAATCCCATATCCCAGAGGGATATTGATATTAGAGATATTGGTTATGTGCCTTTGGACCAGCGTACTCTGGAAATTTCATCCTCCTTGGAATGGCTATATTTGCAGGGCCCTAATATATGTTCATAATATCTGTGGGTTAGGAAAAGTGCCAAGTAATAGAAAAGGGCATCACGGATACTATAAATGTTATATCCCTCTCAGTATGTGAGAGTTTAAAAGTTAGTTTAATATTAAGAAGAGCTCTAAACTGAAAATTCTAGTCCAAATACCATATTTGCAAGTTTCTCAATAACGTAGGAGTTCATGCTTTTCTGATTAAAATTTCATGCTGTTCTAGAGTTTTCTTCTTCTTTTTTTTGAAAAGAGTTTTTTATTTTTATTTTTATTTTTCTAATATCATGTCTTTTGGTTTTGGTAGAAATATGTGATGGCTTATAAAAGCTTGTAGCCGCATCTTTAGATTATGATGCTTGTTAGATATGTTGTTCTTAATGATGATGTCGGTTTTCTGTTTGTTGTCTTAATTTTATGTCGTTTTTGTGATATATTTGAAAAGATTGTGTCGTTTTGTGAATATATTGTCGGTTTCTTTAGTTTTTGCGTGATGTTAGGGTCATTTATGGTGATGCCGCCGTTTCCTGAAGTTTTCTTGTTCAGCTCGTTTTTAAAGATGGTGTCGTTTTTTAGTTAATGTCATTTGTTGAATTATTGCCATTTTTTCTAGGTGTGATGTTTTTTAAGTTCAATTCGTTCTAGGGACACGGTTGGATGCGTTTAAAACTCGTTTTAAAATATTTTATTTTTTATAAGAAAATGAAAATGAAAACGTTTTCAATCTCAAACATAAATTATTTTTAAAAATGTGTTTAGTAATTTTATGAAAAGATTGTTTTTAGTGTAAAAAAATTCATTAATATCTTTCTTTCTCTTTCTGGTCGAGAGAAGAGAAAACGAAAATAAAAAATAAAAAATGACTAAAAATTATTTTTTATTTCTCTCTCATTTTACACTAAATTAAAAAATTATTTTCATTTCTATTTTTTGTCTTTATTGCGTTAAAAGACATTTTAAAAACGTTTTCATTTTTTTTTTCTTAAAAAACGTAAAAAATAAAAATAAAATCAATCCCAAATACGGTTAGTTTTAGTTGATCTTCGTATTTTGGGATGATGTTTTCATATAATGTCGTTTATGGGGTTGGTGTACCGTTTTTAAGTCATGTATTCAAGGCGGTCTTTCTGTGTCCTTTCTGAGGCGTAACCCTTCAAAGTTTATGTCGTTATCTTGAGATATTTCTATTACATAATAAAAATGTGACGAAGTAGGCAGCTAGCTGTGGATCCATTTTTTTTTCCTGTTTATGCCCTTCATTTTTTTGTACTTCTTACTTATTATTTACTCTTTTCTCTTATTTGAAATTTAAAAAAAATGATTAATTTGTATTTCTATTTATATCTTTCACCTTTTGTACTATTTACTTATTTATTATCTACTTTTTAATCTTAAGGCACAAAAAAATGCGGTTTATTTTTTTATTTCTATTTATACCTTTCACCTTTTTTTACTTTTTACTTGCTAATTATTTACACTTTTCTATTACTTAGGGTTTAAAAAAAGAAGGGATTATAACTTAAGAAAAAACGATTTAATTTTTTTGTTTCATGCTCATCACCTTTTGTATTTTTTCCTTACTTGATATGTACCCTTTTTTATTTAGTTAGAACTTAAGAAAAAAAGTGATTAAATTAAATAATAATTGTATTACGTGTATAAGGTGACTTTCAAACCATCACGCATTAAAAACTACGTAAGGTTTTTGTTAGTTTATTTATTTTTTTCTCTTATTTAGAGCTACGAGAAAATGGTCAAATTAAATAATAATATTTCTATTACATGATAAAGTGATCATTTTATCATTTTATTTAGACTAAAACCCCATATTAATAAAAAGTTTAAAATTTATTTTTGTTTCATAATTTGTTTTTAATGATATAAATGCATTTTATATAGATTTTTTTCTTGTGCTATGTTTTTCAAATAACAAATAAAATATTAACTATTATTTATAACCTTTTAAAATTATTATACTCAATCTCCGTACTTTATATATCTTTTAAGCTATAACTAATAGAGTCCGACAATTATATCTTTTTTTACTAGTAATATAGTAAATAAGCATGCTTTCAATATATTTTCGTTTCTCAAGTTGTTTTAGTAATTATATTCGTGTTCACAATGTTGTCGTTAGTTTTTTAGGTGTACACTTTTTTTGGTTTCATATTTTCTTAAGGGGCGTTTGGTATGCGGTAATGGACAGGAATCATATTATTGAGAAAGTGATAGAAGGCAATAGGATTCCTAGAAAATGTATATTACCACGTTTGGTTATGCATGTGAATCTTTTCTCATATTCTCTGGAAAATTATTTTATTGTGTTTGGCAGACGGGTAAAACACCATATTGACCATATTAATATTCCTGTGAATCTGAATAACACCATATTGAGTGTTATTCAGATTACCCTATTTTGGGGTAAAATGAATCTCATGGGACTGATATTTCTGGGAATATGAAAATCACAACTCTTATATCAAACATAGTAATATGTGAATATTCACATTCACATTTAAAGATTATTCCATACCAAACACCCCTAATGTTTGATAAACTCTTGCTTTCAGAGATGTAGCCGTTTTCTCAAGGTTTGTGGCTCTTGTCGTTTTTGTGATCATGTATTAATGATTTCCTTTTGATATATAGGATTATTAATATCTAATGATTTCCTTATCTATTGTCGATATTCATCTTTTTTTTTTTTGAGATATATATATTTGCGCTTTTTGGTTTGTTGTTTTTTAAGTTAGACATTGTTTTAACAATATTTTGAAAGTGCATTTCTATCATTTATATGATTTCTATCATTTACTGTTGAAATATTTTTATGTGAAATTTTATAATCAAAACAGTAAATATTTTTATGTGAAATTTCATAATCATAATAATTCATTATAATTTGTTATTAAAGCATTTTACGGACATCTTTATTAGTGTAAATTTAGTTATGCATGTATGTTAAATATTGATCCTAATAGGATGGACACTCAGTTTGTTGACTAGCTTGAGGCCTATGGACTCCTTTTCTCATAAATGTTTTGATCAACCCATTAGATCAAATAACCTCTCAATATAATTAAAATAAGCATTATAGACCAATTAAAGTGTGAGTCCAAAATAAAAAATGTTGGTATATATTTTAGGATGTGACCATTTTGTGGTCTGCTTGGAATATTATGATATAGGGAGAGGAGGAGAGTTCATTGAACTCTCAACTCCGACGAATTCCGGCGACGTTCCAACGGTCCACCAACGCTACCACGTCGTAACCAACTTGTACATACTTTAATTCTCAATTGGTTCGATGTTTACTTTCAACAATTGGTATCAGAGCCTCCTTGAGTTTTGAGGCTGTGTATTTTTGGATTTCTTCAAGGGTATGGAAACCTATTATCAAAATCCCCAAAATTGCTCTGATATTTTGTTTCTGAGCATGTTTATTATGAATATATGTGTTGGATGATTTTTCTTTGATAGAATCGTGTTGTTTTAATGGTTTTTCGGTTTGGATTTTCGAACTTGGTCCATGGCCGTAGGGGTGACAATTCGTGTCACGTGTCATGTTTTGATAGTTTCTTTCTAAATTTACAGTCAACCTGAACACAACTCGTGATACGAAATTTTTTAAAAAGCGCAACACGAACACGACACGGCCACTTTACGGGTTGACACGACACGAAAATGACTCGTGACACGAAATTGACCCGTGAACCCGAAATTGACACGAAAATTGTATACTTTAGTTTTTTACATATTAGAAATAAGTTAAAATTCATAATACACTAAAATACAATAACATCCATTGAAATTAAGCAAATAATAGTATAAGATTTAGAGTATAACTATCTAATGATATCACAAGTTCATAATAAAATAAAAAATATGTAATGAAAATATATGTATTTTTTAGTTTTTTACGAGTATGCATGTCGTGTTTGGGTTAGGCGGGTCCAATTCGAAATTGACTCGTGTTTTTCGTGTCAATTTCAGGTCGACCCAATTCTGACCCGAACCTCTTTTCGCGAAATTCATGTCGTTTTCAAGACGTATTGTCGTGTTGTGACCCATATTGCCGGCCCTACATGGTTGTATTAAGATAAGAACTCAAATCAAGGTTGTTTATTGGCTTGATTTAAGTTGTCTTTCGTCTTGTGGATTGTGAAAACAAACTATACACTATGGATTTCGTGAAAACCATGTTTTTAAGGTCCGAAAATGGTCGAAATTGATTTTTATTATAATCAAAGTTTTGATTGTTTTTGGGCCATTTCGTGTTATGGATCAAAAGATGAAAAAATTCTGAGAAAAATGCTTTTGAATCGTCGAAAATGAAGTTCTGGAGGTTAAGAAATGGTCGGGTCGGGTCACGGGTCACGTACCTGGTCGCGTTGCAAGTTTATGAGGTTGAAAATGAGAAAAATGACATTGTGTCTTGAGTTTGCTTAAAAAATGACATGTCGTTTTCAGGTTGACAATTCAGTGTCTTTTTTGAAATGACGTTGTTTTTCTTCAATAACCAAAACTACATGTCGTTTTTCTGGGCTAAACAAAACCAATTATTTTTCACCGAGTCCGTACGAACTCATCCGAAGTCCATTTTGAGCGTCGTTTTCGCCGTTACGCTCCACTTTTCATCTCCTAGCTATTAAAATGATTTATTTTGGATTTAGGTCACTATAAAATTATTTTTATATATTTTATAAGTAGATTATATTTTTATTGGTGGCTTATTCTCAAAATTTTTCAAACAAATCTTTCCTTGGCATTTTGTGTATAACTTGTTTGATGATTAAATGCCATAAAATTTTAATTGTATTGTTTGTTTTTATATGACATATTTAATTGTGAGAATTCAACTATAGTGAATGTTTATGTATTTGCTTGTCGTGAGTCTGAACATGTTAAATTGTCCGGATTGCTCTATTACGAAGCTCTCACATAAAATTTCATATTTACTCTTGAGAAAGACTTTTGGATGCACAACACTCCATATATGGATGCACATAAGCTACCATAAAATACTTTTATTTAAATATTTGTTTATTGTAATGATTTTCATATATTTTTCTGGGTCATTTTAATTCTCATAATTTTGAGACCTAAAATTTTAGGGCATGTTTATTTCTCCATATTACATGGTCATATTTTATTTATTTATCCATTCCTTATTTATTATTGTCATCGTTATTATTTGATATTTTGTTTTATATGAGTGTTATGTTTTTTAATTATGCTATCTA